GGTGGTTTTTGCGGGGCAAGGGGCAGTTGCACCTTTGATTTTAGGACAGAAGAAGAAAACAAGCTTATAGATAATAATTGCAAATAACCATAAAATATATATGTAATAAATGAAACGACACAATTTGCGAAAACGTATCCAGGGGCGTGTACAGGATTTGTTTACCAGGGGGCGGGGGGAGTCTTAACGTAACCCAAACTTGCGCAGCACGCGAAGCGGGGGGGGGGGAGGGGGGGGGGATCTGGGCGGCCCTCCCATAAAATTTGAAATTAGACCCCCTTAGATGGTTTCTGCGCGAGCCACCCCCCCCCCTTGTTACAACGGCCCCTCGTATCAGGCGGTATAAATAAATCACAAACGTGAGATAGAGCGCAGAGGAGAAGCTGAGCGAGAAAGAGGCGAGAGAGAGAGAAGAGGAGGCAGAGAGAGGAAAAGAGAGGAGGAGCAAGTGCAGATAAGCCTGGAAGAGAGAGGAAGAGAAGAGGAGAGAGAGAGCATCGAGACGATGGAAGAGAGAAGAGAGAGCCGAGCGGAGAGACGAGAGACGAGACGAGAGAGATAGAGAGAGAGGAGAGAGTGAGATGCCTAGGAGAGAGGGAGGAGAGAGAGAGAGAGAGAAGAGGACGAGAGAGAGAAGAGGGGGGGGGGGGAGAGAATAAATGTCAAATAGTGTCAAGGGACCACTTTATATATAGTAATATAGCTCCACCCTTTAGTATATATATTTAAGCTCACCCTAGTATATATATAAGCTCACCCTTATATATATATAAGCTCACCCTTATATATAATACAAGCTCACCTTATATATAATATAAAAAACGCACCGCTATATATTATATAGAGCTCCACCCTTATATATATATAAGCTCACCCTTATATATATATATAAGCTCACCCTTATATATATATAAGCTCACCCTTATATATATATATAAGCTCACCCTTATATATCACCAATACTGCGATCCAATAGAGTTACACGGTACAGCTAGGATTTATATATTTTTATATATATATATATATAGCAGGAGTAAATAATAACTAACATGAAATAGAGAGGAGAGAGAGAGGGAAGAGGAGAGAGAGGGAGCAGGAGAGAGAGAGAGAAAGAGAGACGAGAGAGAGAGAGAGAGACGAGAGAGAAAGCAGAGAGAAAGGTCTGCGAAGCAGGAACGAGAGAGAGAGAGAGCACCGAGAGCAGAAACGAGAGAAGAGAAAGGAGCAGAGAGGAAACAGAGAGAAAGGAGAAGAGAGAGACGCAGCAGAGATAGAGGAGATATGAGGGCAGAGGACGAGAGCAGAGGAGAAGCGAGAGAGGATGAGAGAGAGGAGAGAGAGAGCGCGAGAGAAGAAAGAGAGAGGAGGAGAGAGAGAGAGAGGCGAGAGAGAGAGACGAAGAGAGAGAGAGAGAGCAGAGAGAGAGGGAGAGGGTTAGAGAGAGAATGATGAGAGAGAGGGAGACGAGAGAGAGAGAGACCGAGAGCAGAGACGAGAGACGGGAAGAGAGAGGAGAGTCAATGCGTGTCAAGGCGATTGCTCACCCTGTGTAATCACAATACTGCGATACAACGAGTTACAGCTAGGCCGTTAATATTTACCTATACGTCAGCAGTGCTTAGGCGTGAGGTATGTTTTCACCGGCCGGGGTTATGAGGTTGGTTGTGGGTTGTGAACATGCACGTTCAGTTCACTTCCGCATAGCCTAGGTTGTGTGGCTGTAGACTTACAACACACGCAACCGAGCTAAGGGCGCAACCACAGTCCTCCCCCACCTGGCTACGCTCGCACGCTCGCAATTAATTAATAACAATAAATTTTCACATGAGAGATATTCAAGCGCCTTGGCGGAGGTCTGTGGCTTCGACGTGCCTCTATTATATATATATCAGAGAAAGAGGTGAGCAGCGGAAGAGAGAGAGCAGAGAAGAGAGAAAGAGAGGAGAGAGAAGAGCAGGGCGAGAGAAGAGAGGGAGAGTAGAAGAGAGACGAGATAAATTTCGGTTACGGGTGTCTATATAGGTACATCCCCCTCGCCGTGCGTCTATACCGCCAAAGCACAGAGATAGCTTGTACACACCACACAACACACACACACACACACCACACGACACACACGACACACACACACACACACACACACACACACACACACACACACACATACACACACACACACACACACACACACACACCACACCTCTCACACACACACCACACACACAGCACACACACACACACACACACACATCACACATCACAAACAACAACAATCATACACACACCTCAACATACCCTGATCTGGGTGCATTGGCCAATAAAAAAAAAACTGTTCAAAGTCGAGCTTATATGTATAAACCGACAAATTCTATATAAATTATATAACTCTTTACAGCCATGGACAAACATAATCGTCGCTACAAGACGCGCAAATAGGATGTAAACATGTAAGTACGACTCTGAGAATTAGAAAATTAAGAACTATCGCAGTTGTTTATCACAAAAAATTACAGTGTAAAAACATGCTTCTCTGCCATATGATACACACACACACACACACACACACACCACACACACACACACACACACACACACCACACACACACCCACACACACCACACACACACAAACACAGCACACCACACACACACACACACACACACACCACACACACACACACACACACGCGTCACCTTTAGTCCACCACTAACAAACAACACTGTAAATGAACTCGCAACATGTTCACCGAATAACAGTCTCCACTACCAGACATATAAATACGTGGCTCGACTAACATTCATTACTAATAAGAAACTCTGGAAACTCGCTTACGTTTATCTTCCCTCCCCAAGATGATCACTATTCTTCACCTCAGGCGCTCCTCTCATCTAAATTCCATCTAAAACCTAACACAACAAACCCTTCCGCACACCTCACGCGTGCGTACCACACTAGCGAACATGAACACGAATGCCTCCTCCTGCTGCTGCTGCTGCTGCTGCTGCTGCTAATATTTACTACTACTGTCCTATACCCCTGCGTAAGCACGAACATATTACGTACTCGCCGCAGACAAACTGGTAAACAATCCACAAAACCGAACAATATCAATAGATCCAACCAATATTTGAGCATGAGCGCTCCCAATGGGCATCAAATACATGGAAAAATACACACGACACGCGAATACAATGTACAAAGAAAATTGCGCAAGCGATAGCAACAATTATTATAAACATAGCTGGGTACCGGCAAAATTCGCTCTGCTGCACCTGTCCTGCATGCGCAAGGAAAGAATACGTGCGATGCCACTTTTAAAGGGGTGTGGGAAATGTAGATTACGTTTAGGCCTTACCATTAATACCATCTTCGGTCTACAACTTGGAACGAATGAAACGTCCTTGAGAAAAACAATATGTAACAATACACGGACGCCGAAATAGAGAATGTAGAAAATCATCTCTTTTGCACCACCATGACAAAAAACCTGTGCGCGCGATCACAGCGCTCATAAATTCATCCTCACGGGACCACAATGATACAATAACTATATTGACCAACAAGCATCAAAGAAATCATATAAGTAATAATAAGTAGAGCAGGGTCTGGATCACTCTTTAGTCGACTCCTCTTCCTTGGTGTTCAGCATGGTTAGACATTGCTTTGACCCTTATTGCCCTTTGCAGCCACAGGAGTACGCAAGCCCCACAACGACGCAACCGTGCGGTGGTCCAGATCTGGGGGACCTGAAGAACAAATCCCACAGAACAATACAATTATTTTGATCCTTTCATGCTTGCATTTGATCTGTGATGTATCTTGTGTCCGTCCGCATGCACCGTGAGTGCGCGGTCCGTCGATTGGTGCAGTGTGTCGTCGTACGAGGTAGTGCGCGTCCGTCGCAGCCTGTGGAGGCGCGTCCGTTCGATGGTGACTGCGCGTCGTCGATTGGGAGGCGCAGTCTCGCGATGGTGAGTGCGCGTCCGTCCGATGGTGAGGAGTGCGCGCTCGCGATGTGTGAGTGCGCGTCCGTCGACGTCGTGAGTTGCGCGTCACGTCGATGGGTGAGTGCGCGTCGCGTTCGATGGTGAGTTGCGCGTCCGTCGATGACGTGACGTGCTGCGCTCGTCGATGGTGAACTGCGCGTCCCGTCGATGGTCAGGCCGCGTCCGTCGATGGTTGATGTGCGCGTCGTCCGATGGTGAGTGCGCGGTCCTTCGGATTGCGCTGACGTGCGGCTGCTGTCCGTCGATTGCGTGCAACGTGCGCGTCCGTCGATGCGTGACTGCCGCGTCCGTCGATGGTGATCGTGCGGCGTCCGTCGATGGGTGACTGCGGCGTCCGTCGATGGTGACCGTGCGCGTCCCGTCGATGGTGGACTGCGCGGTCCGTCGATGAGAGTGCGCTCCGCGTCGATGCGTCGACGGTGCGCGCGTCGTCGATGGGCACGCGCGTCCGTCATGCGTGACTGCGCGTCCGTCGATGGTGACTGCGCTGTCCGTCGATGGTGAGTGCGCGGCGCGTGCGAGGTGGTGAGCTTGCGCGGGTCGTCGGATGGCTTGAGCGGGCGCGGTGCTCGAGTGGTGACTGGCCGTCCGTCGATGACGGTGACTGCGCGTCCGTCGATGTGAGGTGCGCGGTGCCGGCGATGGTGATGCAGCGTTCCGTCGGCGATGGTGATGGCGGGGCGTCCAGTCGGATGGTGACTGGCGCGTCCGTCGATGGTAGGCGGT